ATATATATATATATATATATATATATATACAGTATATATAATATACACGTGTATAACTATACAGTTATATAAATATAACATAAGTAAATATACCTATAAGTAAATCTAATTAAATAAATGATGTGTATAATTATAAAATAATAAATATTTTTATAAAATATAATTATATAATAAATGCGTAAAATTATATAATTATAAAGTAAATGTATTTTATATTATATATTTGTATTTTATATAAGTAAGATACAAATATATCCAGTCTGGTGTTATTGTGGGACAATGCAACGTGTATGATTTTGGCTCAGTGTTATTTCTCAAATATAGATAAAAAAAAAAAAAACTATAATTAACATGCAAGTTTTAAAAGGATATAACCTTCTTTGCTTCGTTTTATAACAGAATATCAGTTAGATGCTATGCAAGTCTAAATTGCAGACTTCCTGTTTAGTTGTTTAGGGCCACCCGTCCTGTGCTGGAACAGCTCTGATGTGATCTGTCTGGTTTCTAACAGGTGTTCATTTAGACATGCTGTATTTTGCTGATCAGTAGACTGATCTAAATTAGGATAAGAATATTAAGGATGTGCCGTGCCAACAGGCCCCACAGCAGCTGCGACCAGAGAAACTAAAACATTGTTTTTCTTGTGCTCACTGAGATTTCGGAGTCATTTTAGTCCATGCATTTTGCAAAATAATTATGAATATTAGGTGAGAATTTCTTTGGAACAGAAAAATCCAGCTTGCTTTCCTGTCGACTGCAGCGTGGCACTTTTAAGGCACTAAAAATCCAGTCAGCAGGGAGCAGTTAACAATAGTTAGTACATCTTCTTTCTTTAGAATGATGGCAAATTAAGATGTTGAGTCAGAAGCATCTGCTGGAGCTGGAGGTTTTCTGTTTTAATAGCTGAAAGATGCCGTATCCTCATGAGGCAGAGAGGTGTAATTTAGCATTAATGAAGTAATCCACTGTTGTGACAAGGTTTCGAGGAATTAAATAGAACAAATCATTTTGTTGTACTCTTCTAATGGCATATTACAGCTTGATGGTGATTACGCTGTAAGAATGTAGCAGCATATGGGTGATTTGGTTGCTTCATTTTCCTAGCATTCGCATAAGACGGAATCATATAAAACACAATGTTCTTGACTAAATTGTTTACTTGCCCGCAAAAGTTTAGGCACTTCTAAAGGACCACAACATAACCGAGTGCTTTGCATACTGTTAAAGTCATCATGAAATGATGCAGTTTCCAAACCATTTTTTTATTTGGAATAATGTGCAGCAAATAAGTCATGCACAATATGAACAGAAACATGTGTTAGGAAAGTAAATAGGTCAAATTCATGCTGACATTTTAATTATTATTTTAAAATACTTTGTGCAATTTAATATTGTTTAGCCTAGTTGTTAGATTGAGATTTTAGGAGATATTTTTGCCAAATAAATAGTCCAGATGCATGGAATAACAGCAAACACAGATGGCTGAACAGCATTACAATTATTTCATACGCAAATTTCTAAGGCCTCTGAATTATCAACATGATCAATTTGCGTAGTTGATAGTTTATACCTTTTTAACAAGTATTTTTAGTATCATTGTAAAAACATCAGGTCATAGTTTACGTGTCGTTTTGCTGTGAAATCTTTACTGATTTCTATTAAGTAAACAAAAGAATAACTTTTATATTGATAGTAATATTTCAAGATTCAAGAAGCAACTTCAATTCATTATCCTTTTTTTTTTTTTTTTAGAAAAGTCAATGAATTTAAATATTAAATATAATTTAAATATCTTACTAAGACATATCATTGGGAGATATAGAGTGACATCTGATATTTATTACCATTTTTTGCAAGTAGTCTGCTATACTGTTATAAAGATCTCATTGATTACAAGCTATCAGAATTTCATCTTACTTTTTGGTCATATCAATATCAGCAACTGAACCACACTGTATATTTTGCTCAGTTTGGTCTCCAGTTTTGCTGTTTTCAATATTCTCATTATATCACAATATGAGCCGTAAATGCTAATGCAATTAACCGTCAATCAACAATAATCAATAAACTGGTCTATTCCAAATAATTCGATTTTTCGGACTATTATTTCATATGTCAGGCTGTACAGGGTTAAGAAAACTGAAACCGGCTGTCTGTTGTCTGTCATTGTTTCCTTAGGCCTTAGAGGCTGTAAAAATGAAACATGAATAATAATAGTTGCATGTTGTTTTGTTGTTGAGGTACTGTGGAGTATTTGCTCAGAAACCTGTACAGCATGCTCCTGTTGTCAGCAAGAGAATGGTGACTTACAGCCTTATTTGAAAACCAGTCACATCGTCATACTGCCTGTTGCTAAGCGCTGCATTAGCCCATTATGACCGATAATACTGGCACTTCTGGAACTACGTCTGACAGCTTTTGCAGTGCAGGTTTCACATTGCAGATACCTACTAATTCCGCAGGAGACAGACAGGCAATCGCAACAAATAACCCAAAATGATGTGCAACCAGATTTGTCCAGCTGTGCGGTGCTCATGTTCCATCTTTATTGGCAGATGGTGTCACGATTCATACGAGGTGTACTGAAAACAACAGCTTTTATAATTGATGTCGGAATCAGCATCTCTGTAGTTAATAACCAAAGCACCTCATCACGTGTATTAGGAAACTGCTGGCAATTACATAACAATTAAAGATATATTTGTTTTATAATAGTTACACTTATTGTTGCTTTTGACAGTTCCAGCTCTACATTTTGATTGGATAAGACATGATTGCTGTAAAATGCCCAACGCCATACACTAATATGACAAGCATTGCTTGACGTACGTAAATTAATTAGACTTATGAGTTACATGGCAGAAAAATAGTATTTGTTAGTAGTTAAATAATAAGTGTTACTGAATATTTGTATTATATCATATTGCTGTGCCATAGTATTGATCGTGCTAGTATCATTAAAAAAAGAATTGAGATCTGACTTGTCACTGCAAAACACTGTCACTGTCAAAAATGACAGCCTTGTGGCTTTTTACTAAGAGGTTCTTGAGATAAATCCTGGCTTATTTTTAGAAGGGAATGTGATTCTGTTTTGATAGTCCACTATCCCAGGAGTTTTCAAACTGGCCTCTGGGGAAAAGATTAGTTGAAAACAGTGTAAAAAAGTATAGAATTAAACTAAATAAATAGGCATATTCATTTGATTTAAATCAGTCAATCAATCAATCAATCAATAAGACAAGTACTGTACAACAGTACTATAGTCAGGGGCGCGTCTACGTGGTGGCCAGGGGTGGCACCAGCCCCCCCCTGAAATTTGGCTGCCCCCCCCTCCCCACCAGATGTCTTGCCATAGGCTTGTTTTTAGTAACTTTCTAATTTTAGGCGGTTTCTATAGTGTGATCTTAATGACAATGTCGAGAGCGCATTATGCTCCACTGTGATGTGACCCCCTCTCTCTCTCTCTCTCTCTCGCTCTCTCTCTCTCTCTCTCTCTCTTTCTTTCTCTCTCTCTCTCTCTCTCTCTCTCTTGCTCGCTCGCGCACACACACACACGATGCGCAAAACTCCGCATTTGAACAGTCAATAGCAAATACTTAAACTAATAACAAAACAGTAGCTGATTCAGAAGCGCCAGATTGTCATAGCAAAGTCTGAATTACCTCCAATCCTAGGTTCACGAAACGGTCGTCCATAAAATGCATTGCCGTTCTGTTGTAAGTAATCTTAAAGATTCCTAAATGCATCTACTTTCTGAAGGCCAAATAAAGTGCTTTTGCTTTCACCTAGAAACCCACAGTGTCTCTCTGACATGCTGCTTCAACACTAACTGCGGTTACTGAAACCACGCCTTCTTTCTTTGCGTGCACATTTGGGCCGCATTATGCTAATGTTTCCACATAGTGAGGTAGATATGTGGGGGCGTGTTAGAACGAGCCGTTTTAGGGGGGCGTGGCAGAGTCTTAACTTTGATAAAGAATATCTCTTTGGTTTTGAGACTTTAGTCTTTGCAACTTTAGGGATCTTATCTATGCACAATGCAGACAGTTATTAATTGGCAAGAGTATTTTAACCTTTGATAACGGCAGGTTGAGTGGAATTTATATTAATAACAGTTGATGGAGATGGAGGGAAAAGCGCATCACGGTTCCTCCTTTTGGCCAATTAAGTGCACGAGTTAGAGCACGTGTGCAATCATGCACAGACCAGTGATTTCAGACTCGCTGCATGTTTTTAAAAGGCTTATATGTAAAACACACAATATGACGTTAATTTATTAAAAAAACGAAAAAAAACAAAAAAAACAGGACTGAACCCGTTCGAGAAAAAAACACGCGTTTTCTTAAAACCCGAATGCAGCGTGGATTAAACATATTTTAACGTTTTTTAATCATAATTACAAACACGTCTCAATTGCAGCATTGGTGATGGTGATATTAATTTCGGATCGCTCGCACACTGGAGAAAGATGCGCTTGAGACGAGGGAATCGCTCAGGATGCGAATTGGCTAATCATACTATGGCGACGGCTTTGCTTATGAATATTAATTACGTAACAACACGTTCGCTCAGTAAACCTAAACGATTGGCTGAAAGGCAGACTTTCGTAAAGGGTGCAAGTCAGCTGACGAATGAAGGACTCCTACTTGTCTCATGAATATTAATGACGTAGCGTGGCGTTCGGCCAACTGATTGGCTGAAAGGGAAAAGTTGGCCAATCAACGAATTCTAGTGCGGAGAAGGCTTGGCTAGGAATACTAATTAGATTACGTAACTGGACGCTCCAGGAAGGTTACCGTGCAACGTCAGCGTGCTGATTAATATTAATAAGTCAAGCGTTCGCCATAGTAGGAATAGTTAATTTCGCCTGTGTAGTAGGGCTGCTCTCACGTCACACGCGCCTTCTTTACAGGGTGAAGACACAGGCAATGTCACACAGCCCTCCTCATCATCACGACTAAAAACTCACCTATCTTACACACAATTATTCCAGCATTTGGGAAAAATAATAACCGAATCGCACTGGTAAGTGACGTTTATTTCTAATTAATTTGTGTTTTGGAGCTAATTTATAATTAGTGTGTGAGTATATATATATATATATGATTTAAGACGCTCATCCACGTTTTAAATATACCTCATTTATGTACGAGTAAGTGTTTTAATGTTAAATGCTGAATTTTATCATTCCATATTTGAGGCATGAGATTCATTCATTTGGAAAATAATGTGAGCTCATCAATGATGGATGCAAACGTAATCTTGATCAAAAATACATATAGAACTGAACGTAATTTATGTAAAATCTGTTTATAAGGTAGCATATATCATTTAACACGGCTCATGCATCATGTCAAGACATTAAAATTATTTTCTTTTTGGTGAGCAGATTTTTTTTCCTTGGTGAAATGCGCTGCATTTTGTATAACGATATGTTATTGCTTGTTTCCTGTATGTATATTAATCTCTATTTGCCATTTGTTAAAGAATAGATTAAAAGAGTAATTGATAAGAGCCATATTCCCATAGAGACATACGGCTTAAGCCTCGCCCCTTCACCTAATATCCATCAGAATAAGACTGATCGGGGCTTATTCCATTTTCATCACTGGCTGATTTTGGGCTGGTATAGAGTTTCATATTTGCTACAATTGATAAACACGAGAAATATAGATTAGAATGAGATTTTTTTAGCGCGTGATATCTTTAAGCATCAAAATGACCTTGCAGCAGACATGAAGAATGGAAACCTGCTACATGTGTGTGTGTGTGATGATTTATTCCATTGCTGATTGCATTCAGTCTCGTCACGACAGCAAGTGTCATTTGGCTTGACTGAATTCACAGTGATGTTCTGGATCTACATGTGCCTGTATCACTGCTGTTTTTTTCTCCAGTGAAATAACGCCTTTTAGCAGGAAATAACTAACCATCACTGTTGCATGCGAATAATGATAAGTGTGCTCTTTACCAATTCCTAAGAGTAGATAATATTTGACCGTTTTGATGGAATATGCAAAGCTGTATGTTGTTAGTACTGTTAGTATGCAGAGATTTCCAATGCTATTACTGTATTGATAGCAGCCTTTATGTAAACCTCAATGTTGGTAGTATTGCTATATATGCATATCTTTGAATTGTAGGATTGATATTAGTGTTTTATATCTGATAGTATTGTTAGTATGTAGAGATTTATGTTAGTTAGTATTGATATTATATGTAGAGCTGTATATTTGATAATATATATATATGCAACTTTATGTTGGTACGATTAAGAGAAAAAAAAGTGATATAGGCTACAGATGTCTGAAAGTTTGATGTGCAATGACAGGTCATTAGAAGGATGACCTACTGTGTTTTCATACTTCTAGCTCGTAACTTTGATCCGATTTGAAAGTTGCCAAACACATGTGCAAGACTTTGAGAGAAGCCGTTTCTCCTAATGTGAATTGATTTGCAGGCTGTTTGTGGTACACAGCTTCTGGTGTCTCTGCATGTCAGTGGTGGTGCTGCTCAGGATTGCAGTTGTTTCTCAATCATTGTGTGCTCTGTGCGCTGCAGTGCTCTTTTCAGAGTAACCTTGAGAGGAATCCTCAGAGGATGGATGTGGCAGAGGAGGAAGAGAGAGAACAGGGTCAGAAACCGGGTTTAACGGCAGGAGTGTTTATCATCGGTCTGTGCCGGTGCTGATGTCTTATCTGTCTGGGCCATCGTTCAGAACTCATTCAGGAATCAGGAATAGGATTATCACTAGAGTCTGGTGCAGTACATTTCCATGTCACATTTGGATAAAATATTTTATATAAACTCAAATTTTCAAAGATTTGTTTTCTTTTAGTACAATATTGCAATTTAGCAAATTAAGCAATAGTTCACCCAAAAATTTGAATTTGCTGAAAATGCACTCAACCTCAGACCATCCAAGATGTAGATGAGTTTGTTTCTTCATGGCAACAGATTTGGAGAAATGTAGCATTCCATCGCTTGCTCACCAGTGGATCATCTGCAGTGAATGGGTGCCGTCAGAATGAGAGTCCAAACAGCTGATAAAAACATCACAATAATCCACACGACTCCAGTCTATCAATTAAGGTCTTGTGAAGTGAAAAGCGTCATATTTGTAAGAAACAAATTCGTTATTACAGGATTTTAACTTTAAACCTTCGCTTTCTGCCAGAATGCCACTCCATAATCCATAATAACGCTTCCTCCAGTGAAAAAGTCTCATCTGCTGTTGTCCTCTCACATCAAAATCCACCGTCATATTTGTTTAGAACTGTTTTGGACTGTTTTCACTTGTAAATGGTGCTTGATTTGTGCATATTTATCTCCTGATTCAGACTAGATTACTTTTTCACTGGAGAAATCAATATTTTGAGTAGTGGACTCATATTTTAGCTGGAAGCAAGGGTTTGGTAAATTTTTCCGAATCTCTTTCAATGAAGAAACAAACTCATCTACATCTTGGATGGCCTGCAGATTTTCATTTCTGGGTGAACTTTTTTTGGTTTGATGTAATATTTCCATGCCTCCAGGTGTTGCACTGACCTCTAATATGGAAAAAAAAAAAAAAAACTGCCAATTTATTAAGAAATATTACTGGTGCGTCTTCCTTTCTCTAATCAAAATGTTTCAAACAAAACGTTTTCTTGGGATAATTGGTAATTAGTTTATGGGTTTTTTTTCTCTGTCTTTGAATACCTGTACACTTTCCATCTGTAATATTTCCATGCCTCCAGGTTTTGCACTGACCTCTAATATGGGAAAAAAAAAAAAAAAAACTGCCAATTTATTAAGAAATATTACTGGTGCGTCTTCCTTTCTCTAATCAAAATGTTTCAAACAAAACGTTTTCTTGGGATAATTGGTAATTAGTTTATGGGTTTTTTTTCTCTGTCTTTGAATACCTGTACACTTTCCATCTGTTAGTCTTTTGTAAAATCACTTAAACAAAAGTTCGAAATAAACTTGCATAACAGCAATGAACAGTACATTTTCAGAGTGAAATCAAAGGCAGCCAAATTGAAGCAGAATCTCAGATGTATCTTTACACAAAGAGGGAAATCTATACATTACACACCCAGCATGTGTTCAGAGAGAGATTGATAAAGGCTGTAGACATCTTTGAAGTGTAACAAACAACAGTGGCGTCAATATAGATGTGTGATTTACTTAGAATTTTTTTCAAGGTTACATCCAAATGTCCTTAGTTTCACAATGATGCAAATAGAGGGTGATGGGTTTCTTTGGAACTGCAATATGCTTCGGTTTAGTATACTGCATGAGTCTACATATCATACGGTAATCTCTCACCCATTAATCCCTGCGCTAAAATATGAGCTCAAGAGGGAAATCTATACATTACACACCCAGCATGTGTTCAGAGAGAGATTGATAAAGGCTGTAGACATCTTTGAAGTGTAACAAACAACAGTGGTGTCAATATAGATGTGTGATTTACTTAGAATTTTTTTCAAGGTTACATCCAAATGTCCTTAGTTTCACAATGATGCAAATAGAGGGTGATGGGTTTCTTTGGAACTGCAATATGCTTCGGTTTAGTATACTGCATGAGTCTGCATATCATACGGTAATCTCTCACCTATTAATCCCTGCGCTAAAATATGAGCTTTTATAGAGGGACGTATCATTTCCCCTGGACTTCACTATATACACCACATGCAGAATATGTCATGACTGTTCTTTTGTCATTTAAACAAAGTTTAAGTTGCATGTCCCACTGTTAAGTAAGTCAAAGTCAGAATTTGAAGCCATTTGCAACCGGTTTTCTGTATATATTTCTGAAACAGGATATTTCCCAAGAAGTAATGTTGTGAATCTTGATTTTATCAGCCTGGAATTAAGTGAATTATGAAATGTGGATAGATCTAGATCGAAGGCTGGTTTGGCTGTCGGTTATCATTATGTGACATCAGCGGAAAAAGGATTCTTAAATTCTTACATTTGGATGACATTAAATGAGTACTTTGAAAAAAAAAAAAAAACTGCCAATTTATTAAGAAATATTACTGGTGCGTCTTCCTTTTTCCCTTTCTCTAATCAAAATGTTTCAAACAAAACGTTTTCTTGGGATAATTGGTAATTAGTTTATGGGTTTTTTTTCTCTGTCTTTGAATACCTGTACACTTTCCATCTGTTAGTCTTTTGTAAAATCACTTAAACAAAAGTTCGAAATAAACTTGCATAACAGCAATGAACAGTACATTTTCAGAGTGAAATCAAAGGCAGCCAAATTGAAGCAGAATCTCAGATGTATCTTTACACAAAGAGGGAAATCTATACATTACACACCCAGCATGTGTTCAGAGAGAGATTGATAAAGGCTGTAGACATCTTTGAAGTGTAACAAACAACAGTGGTGTCAATATAGATGTGTGATTTACTTAGAATTTTTTTCAAGGTTACATCCAAATGTCCTTAGTTTCACAATGATGCAAATAGAGGGTGATGGGTTTCTTTGGAACTGCAATATGCTTCGGTTTAGTATACTGCATGAGTCTGCATATCATACGGTAATCTCTCACCTATTAATCCCTGCGCTAAAATATGAGCTTTTATAGAGGGACGTATCATTTCCCCTGGACTTCACTATATACACCACATGCAGAATATGTCATGACTGTTCTTTTGTCATTTAAACAAAGTTTAAGTTGCATGTCCCACTGTTAAGTAAGTCAAAGTCAGAATTTGAAGCCATTTGCAACCGGTTTTCTGTATATATTTCTGAAACAGGATATTTCTCAAGAAGTAATGTTGTGAATCTTGATTTTATCAGCCTGGAATTAAGTGAATTATGAAATGTGGATAGATCTAGATCGAAGGCTGGTTTGGCTGTCGGTTATCATTATGTGACATCAGCGGAAAAAAGGAAATGGAAGAAATTCTTACATTTGGATGACATTAAATGAGTACTTTGAAACAATTTTCACTCAGAAATTGCAGGTAAATATCACAAATAATTATAAAAATTAAATGACAAATTGCAGTAGAAAGACTGAAATAGT